TCCTGCTATCCTCCTCCACAACTACCTCCCCGCAAAACCCACATCTGAAACACCTTCTAGAAGCCATAGAACAATGTAATATGATATCAGAGCCTGTCAAACCCTAAATTTTTAGAAATTTGTCTTTCCTAAACCTAAACCAAGAATCCATGCAGCATAACCTAATGCCCCCGCCAAGAAAAATTTTCCCCACATCATCCATAAGCCCTAGACCTAGCCCTTACCCTAACCCCAAACCCTAAATTATATTTTTCTTTTTTGTCAAAACTTTCATTGGAAGAACAAGACGTCATGAATCTAGACGAACTCATCAAATGGCTTCAAATAATGGCAAGGGTCTTCGAGTATAAAGGTGTTCCACCTGACAAAAGAGTAAATGATGCGGGAGATAAAGTTCTATTTTGATTTATATCACTTGATTTACTTGATTTGCGTGTTTTAGTTTATTAGCTATCTTTATGTTTAGGATGGCATACTTATAATTAGATGAGTCTAGCCTTTATAAATAGGGGATGTTTTGTGTGCACTATGAGAACAAAAGGGTTTTTAGACTTGAGCATGTTGTCTCTTAGGAGAATTTGGTCCATCCAAACCTTTTCCTGCAGTTAGATCCTGGTTTAACGCCCAAGTAGTGTTTAGCCATAATCTTGTTTTTCATATCATTCATTTTTTTCTTCGATTCTTTCCATTGCTCTTGCGAAATTCAATAACTACCCCCCTTTGGTCGGTATAATTTCGGTATCAGATCTTTGGGGTTCTTACATCCAATCCTTTCTTGAACCAGTTGAGATCGTCTTTGAATTCCTGAAATATATTGTGTGCAATTGAGCTCTTTCATCAATTGTTGTTTCCAGTTTTCATAAATCTGAACTTTTTGTTCTCTGTTATCATTTTTTGGTTGGTTTCCCTACTATATTTCTTTCTCCTTGTTGCGGTGGTTTCCTATCTCCCTGCTATGGCATCAATTGCTATCTCATTTTGATTGCAGCCTTCTGTTGTTTTTATGACTTGAGAATTTGAGGCGAGGTTTTAACTTCTTGGAACAAGACAAACCCATTCTCTTCTTGATCTTTTTGGCTAAAACCCAATTTTAGAAGGACAAGCTATTTGTCTTCTTGTTCTTCATGGGATTGCTGCTCATGCATTCTCTCCTTCTTTCCACTACAACTTTCCAACAAAACATAATGCCCCCACGCAAGAACGTGCCAAGAACCAATCAAAAAGTATCCATTGAGTATCTCTTGCGTGAAATGCAGTGTATGCAAGACGAACGTTCAGCCTTGGAGCAGAAATATGGAGGAAAGCTAAGTGGCACAGGATTTCAAGGCGGTATGAGAAGGGAATAAAAATCAACTTCATCAAGAAGCCTCAAGTTTTTCATGGGTTTGAAAATTTAATGTTATAATCATCATCAATGTTCATATACAACGCGTATGACTAAGAATATTTTTGGCCTCTAATCGTGGATATGCTAAGAAATGAGGCCAGTTTTCAGGAGTGAAAATTCTGAATATGCAATTGATAGAAGAGCTGATGGTGAAGATTGTCATACTGGAATAGATTTGCAGAGTGATTAAACTAGTTGATATGTTGATTATGCTTCTCTTAATCATCATCATTAAACAGATATACATGATCATATGGATCAAGTATCATTGCTTAGACAGCAACAAAGCATGAAAGCTCAATCACTACATTTAGGCCCTGATATGAAACAGGTTTAATATCTTAGAGCAAGAACTGCACTTTATTAATCCTGGTTCTCAAGAATTTGATGTCAATTAAATTGAGAAGCTTCAAAATTAGAGTTGAAACCCCTTGATCCAGTTTCAACAGCGGCAATGTTAGAAGATGCTTGACTCACCAAACTTGCCCTACATATAGATTAGAGCGACTCCACTTTCAATGTCTTCGAGTTGGCTGCTCATTACGAATCAGATTCCGAGATAGTTCAATATGAGGGAACCTTGCAAACCTCGGGAGAAAAGTTCGAGAGCTAGAATTTTATTTCAATATATGTCTTTGTTTGTTGTTTTAGTTTGTTATTTATGTCTTCAAGTTTTGGGATGGCAAGCTTGTAATTAAGAGAGTATAGCATTTATAGATAGCGGTTGTTTTGTGTGGGCTTAGAACATGAGGGTTTTTAGACTTGTTTTTGTCTTCTTTTTAGAGGTGTCGGTTCATCCAAACCTTGCCCTGCAACTACAACTAGGATTACTGTCGAGATGATGTTTAGTCATTATCTTGTTCTTCATGTTGTTCATTATTTTTCTCAGTTTTTTCCACTTTTCTTGCTGAAATCAGCAAACAACCCCCCCTTTGACTGGCATCAATCAAGCTAAATGCTATTTAGTTAAGGAAAACTCAAAATGGTGGGAAAACTTGAAGCACTTACACTAGTGTGTGAAAAAAAGTTAAATTTGCTACGATCCAAAATGAAATGAAAGATACAACTCAAGTATCTACCAAAAAATTACGAGTAGCATGTGTTCTTGAGATTTCACTAATTACAAAAAAAAGATCTCTCAGTAGAGGAGCATATAATTGAGTTCGAGCAGCTTATATTGAAGTGTGAGCTAGTAGAGCCCGAGGTGAGTAACATAGCTCGATATCTAGGGGATTGATATCATATATTGATAAATTGGTACATTTACAGTTCCATTAGATATTACAGTAAAGAACAACACAATAATATCAAGTCCACACTACCATTCAAATAAAATACAACCATTGGATTTGGCGGCAAGTGTAGACCCAAAGGAGCACCCACATCGACCATGCTAAAGGAGAAACTTGTACAGAGTGGAAAAGGTTGAAGACTGCCACTAGTCCTAAATCCATCCCAGCTAGAAATTGATTTAAGTGATAAATTTTGGGCATATTGCATCCAATTGCCTAAACAAGAAAATGTTATCGTTCATCAAGTTGAGAACAGTTGAAGAAATAGATAGTGACACAGAAGAGAATGAAGACTTCAAAGAGAAGAATCAACTAGCAACCAACATGAGAAAAATATTAATCATTCTAGCTAAGCATCACTAACATTGTTTGCCATGAAAGGTTGTGAGTCTGAGGAGCTAATACTATAAAAGAGACAGCCCGTGTTGAGAGACTTGTCAGAAGTCCTGACAAACGGTTTACCACTCGAGTGGTAGCCACTAAAAGTCTTCTAGTATGCCATAGATTTCATTCCATAATCGATTCCTCTAATACAGGCTATTTTACCTAATACGCCAAACCTATCACAAGGAGTGTGATAAGCAAGCTTCATATTTAATGGTTCGAGGCTTAGGTCGTGTGAATACCAGTCCATATGCAGTTTTAGCTCTAGTTGTGTCAAAAAAAAATGACTACTTATTCTATCAGGATAGACTTTGGGATGATGAGCATGACATGAACATGAGCATAAATTTACAAGCGAGACTTTATTATGGTGGTGGTAGATTGATTTCAGAAGCCTACAAAGATGAAGAAGTAACTTCTCCTAGCCTAGGAGAATGATGCAGAGAGTTGTGTTGTGTTTCACATTCCACGAGATCCTAC